ATTTCTTCTCATCAAAGATTAATTATCAGCTGGTTGTAGATTCTTCCCGGACCCTGGGAGGGGACTATCGAGGGGCTGGACCCCCATAGTCCCCGATACATCGGACATCAGCTTCTGGCTTCCACACATGTACACACATCAGCACACATCCAAACGGGCACATACACATGCACATTTGTTTACAACACACAAACACACACACGTGTGTGTGGGGGTGCCAAGGTCAGTAGCTGAGGGCTGGCTGAACGTTGGGCCAGCATCTTGTATGAGGCTTAAGCACTTTAAAAATAGCTGAGTGAAGTCTCCAGTTGTGGGCACCAGAGGCTTCCCTGGCAGTCCAGACCATCGGAAGTGACTCCTACACACACCACTGGAAGGCAGGTGGCCACCCCCCCCTTGCTTCAGGGAGACAAAGCCTGGCAACAGTGGCATTAGGAAGGCCAAGAGACCGGGGCAAGCCTGCGCCAGGCGGCTGCAGGGCAGGAGGGAAGCTGGGCTTGAGGACGTGCTTCCTGTGGAGGACGCAAAGGTTTCCCAAGCCCTCCGCTAACCTCGTCCAGCAGGGAACCAGAGCAGTCACAGGGCTCGGGCTGACCGCCAGCTGGCGGAGGCTGGACGGGGGACAGAGATAGGGCCGGGTTCTGGACATGCACCAGCAACCGCCAAGGCCTTGAGGCAGCCAGCCCCGCCCTGCTTTACAAAGTTCCACTGAGCAACTTTTACTTCAACACTGAGGACTGTGGAGGGGCCCCAAAATAGCTTGACCACACAGCAGCCATGACAGGCTTAGGGGCCTAGACACAGCTTCGGTGACAGGCTTACTGGCAGGCAACACCCAGATCTAGGAAGAGCCTGAAGCTGATACCACCCAGGGGTGAGGTAGTACCTGACCTCCCAAACATTCCAGCCATTAGATAAGGTTGCCAGATGTCCTGGAGTCTAGCACACACCTATTTTGTTTTACAGATACCCCTAGACAACTGTCAGCCAATCAGGGTCCTGGACCCTGGAAATCCCCTCCCCCCAACCTCTGCCATGATAAAAACTCTGCCCACCTCAGCTCAGGGCTCTCGGCTCTCACCCCTGGGTCGGACAGACAGAGGGACCAAGCTCTGGAACTTGAAATAAAGGCTCTTTGCTTTTACACGCGGGATTCGGTCCCCGTGGTGGTCTTTTGGGGGTCCCTGCGATCTTGGCATAACAAGGACCTGTGCCCCAGACACTGGTGGCACGATGCTCCACTTGGTCGCCTGTCTTCCGGCCTTCTGGCGGGGTAGGGCTACACCAGCCTATCCCTCCAACTGGGGAGCAGGCTGTGACAGTGAGCAAAGCTCCTGCGTCGCTGTTGGAAGCGAGGCAAATTACCCAAAGAAACCAGGGAGTAGATGCGCGGGGTGGTAGCTCGCTCCTGGGTAGTACTAGGTAGAACTGCTGGGAGTCCAAGGCCAGCCTCGGCTGCATGTACAGTGACATTCCGTCCTTAAGAAGGCCATCAAGAAAAGAGTCACAGGTCAAATCTGCAGCGACTATCGCGCTGTGGCTGGCCTGGGACCCTGGTGCGGAAAGAGCGCTCCCTAATGCCGTTATACTGGAGGCGCCCGCGGGGCGGGCCGGACTCTGGGTTCGATTCCCCTAACCCCGCTACGGGCCGGAAGGGGTGCCCCGCCGGGGAAGATCGTCCTTTGAGCCCTGGCCCCGGCCTGGGCTGTTCGAAACCCACCGTGTCCCCAGCTCTGGCCCCCGGCGATCGGCTCACCTGCAGGCTCAGCCGCCTTGCGAGATCTCCCGCGCGCTCCGCCCGCTCCGGAAGCCCCGCCCACCCTAGGCTTCTCTTCCAATGAACGGCTGGAGTCCGAGTCTGCCACACCCAACAGGAACGAAGAGGCGTCCACGTGGCTGACTAAGGAGCCAATCCGAAGTCGCAATCTCCTCGAGAGGCGCGGAGGGCGTCCCCCGGCCCTCGCCGCCGATTGGTAGCCGGCAGCAGGGGCGGGGACCTTGAGCTGATTGGTGAAGGGCGGTGCTGGGGCGGACACTAGTCTCCGATTGGCTCGTGTTCCGGGCTGCGGTTGCGGATTGGGCTCCGGCACTGTCATGGTGCCGGAGGGCGGGGCGGGGCGGGGCGGAGTGGCGCCCTGTGTGGGCTCAGCGCGGGCGGTGGCGTGAGGGGCTCCGGCGGAGACATGTCCTCGGGGGTGGCCGCGCGCTGCGACGCCAAGAAGCTTGTGCGCTCGCCCAGCGGCCTGCGCATGGTGCCGGAGCACCGCGCCTTCGGAAGCCCGTTCGGCTTGGAGGAGCCGCAGTGGGTCCCGGACAAGGAGGTGAGTCCCAGCCCCCGGGTCCCCGGCCACAGCCTGGGCGGCTCCCGCCTCCGCCCTCGGGGCGCTCGGCCGCGGCTCCCGTCGGCCGTCCCCGCCGTCCCTGCCGAGCCGTGAGGGCGGTGTCTGTTCCCTGGCGGTCATTGGCTGCGCGGTGCAGAGTCGGGGGCGGTGGAGCGGCCGACCAGCGGGCTGCTTGCGGGTACCGGGCTGGAGTGGGTCGGGGGCGGCGAGGGCGAGGGAGTCGGCCCCTCCTGCCCGCTGGAGGTGCGATGCCAGGAGTTTGCAGTCTTCGGGGTTCTAAACTCTGCAGAGCTTGGGCCACTTGGGAGAAAATGGGAGCACTTCACGCATTCCATGCGAGTTTATTTCAGAGTAAATTAGAAGGCATCTGCGTGAAGTACTGGCGATTTTTGTATACTGAAAACTTTTTACGTTGATTTATTCGTGTGTGTATGCGCCTTTGCCCCCATGCCACAGCGCGCGCATGTAGATTCAGAGGACCACACGGGGAAGACAGTTTTCTTCTTCCACTATGTGGGTCCCGCGGGTGGAACTCGGGTCTCAGGTGTGGCAGCACGTGCCTTTACTTCGTGAGCCATCTCAGTGGCCCTTGTAAATTCATTCATTCTTTTTTTCCCCCTTAAAGTGGGTCTTCACTGTATAGCCCTGGCTGTTCTGGAACTCACTACATACACAGTCTGGCCTAGAACTCAAATAGATATGCCTGCCTTTGCCTGGTGCTAGGCACTCACTACCTGTTGCTCTGTTGGCCTCGAACTCACTGTGGTCTTCCTCAGCCCCCTGCGTGGTGGGATTAAAGGTGCGCTCCACCACACCTGGCCTCGCAATTTTCTTAAGCTGGAATCTGTGTTCAGAACTCGAATCAGCTGCTCCTCTCCCCTCGTGATCTCATCCATGAGTAGGTGAGGCCCGCAGCTTCCTAGAGCTAGGGCCAGCATTCTTAGAACAGTGGGCACAGGGGGCTGGAGAACCCACCTGTGCCACCAGAAGCTGCAGCTGCCTGGCCTCGCCACTCCCCTTCCCAACTCTGAAATTACTTGAGAGTTCCTAAAGAGAAGGTTCATGTCAGTCCTCACTTCTTAGAGCCCTGAAAGGGGGCCCAGACTATTCCTGGGGATGCTGGGCATGTCACTGAGCGGTCCCTGCCCTCCCTGGTTGGGCCATTTCAGTTCTGTATTTACTCTTGCGCTTAAGTATCTGTGCACAGATTGTTCTTTTCTCTCATGTCTGTAAAGTGAATTGAGCACAACACCGAGTGCTCCTAACACCCCTGAACTGTGTAACGGGTAAGGTTAAGGCATGATTTAGGTAGATGTCTGAGTTCAGGGCCAGCCTGGACTATGTAGTGAGTTCAGGCCAGCCAGGGCTACACAGTGAGACCCTGTCTTAAAACGCCAAAAATGGGGGGAGTTGGGTAAGATTGGGACACAGCCTGTAACTCTGTAAGTCCAGCCCTTGGGAGACTGAGACGGGATAATAGTGTGTGACCAGCCTGGGCTACAGAACTGTTTCAAAACAACAAGGAGCAGTTGCTGGGGAGACGGTGAATGAGTGTCAGTGTTAACACCCAGAACTGGGCAGGCATAACTTTGCAGGAGAGCCCAGTAAAGCACAGATTGAAATAGGGTGTGTGTGTGTGTCAGGTATAGAGTCCAGTTGGGGTGGGAAGCCGTGCTTGTGGGGAACAGGAGAAACTGAGGCTCTTGGGAAAGTGTTCTCACTGGCTCTAGACTCGATTTCTCAAGATTTTCCCTGTTGGTCTCCAAGGAGCCTTTAAGTTAGGTGTTTTTACCCGATGCAATCTTTATATAAGACTTTATAATTTATTCCCCATAAAATCTGGACTGGCAGGAATGCCATGTCCGTGCCAAGATGGGAGGGGAGGTTCTGTGACAGGTAACTGTACCAAGGAGGAGGAGGGCATGGGCTCTGTGTCCCAGGTCAGGCGGAAAGGGCTTTGCTTTGTAGGAGTGACCAAGGCCGGAAGAGGGCACAGACAAGCGTGGGTGGCGGGCTCCCACAGAAGGTAGGGTGGGGAGGGTTTGCTCGGGGCCGGATGGAGGAGAGCGGCCACTCTACAGTCCAGTCAGGAATCAGGCCTGCGCTGTACTTGGCACTCGAGAACCCAATTCAGCCTTGGTGATCTGGAGTGCCTGCCAAACCTGGCCTGGCGCGGAACCCAAGGGGGCCTGTGCCTGTGATCTTGGTTGGCTCTGGGGGAAGGGTGGGATTTCACAGTTGTTTTACAAGGATCACAGTGTAAAGTTCACCTTGTGCTCTTCAAGAGCTTCCCTGTGTGTTCTAGCTCTGTGACCAGCAGCCCTGTGACGGGGCTGGCTGGAGGCTTCAGTCCTGTGGCTGAGGTTGGTATAAACGTCAGGAGAAAGTTCCTGCTCTGCTTCCAGGCTGCAGTTAGCTTCTCCATTCACCGTCCTTGAGTTGAGTTCCTTGACAGCTCTGTAAACTAGAAAACCCAACAGCAGGCCCTGAGATGGAGTCGCACTCTGGGGTAGCCAGCTTCCAGCCTGCTGACAATTTCATTTCTTCTTGTCTCGTGCTTCTATGTGTGTCTGCTCTTTGCTTCCTTGTCTGTGCACCACATGCGGCTTGGTGCCTGCAGAGGGTATTGGGTCCCTAGAACTTGGTTTTGAGACACCATGTAAGTTCTAGGTACTGAACTCAGGTTCTCTGCAAGAGCAGCAAGTACTCTTGAGTGCTGAGCTATTTCCACAGCTCCTGAACTGTTGTTTTGTTTAAACAACTCATTGGCTTCCCATTGATTAATAGTCTTTGGCATTGGTGTGTGTGTGTGTGTGTGTGTGTGTGTGTGTGTGTGTGTGTGTGTGTGTGTACGCACGCACGCACGCATATGTGAATAGAAGCCAGGCTTCAGGTTGTTGTTCCTTCAGTCATTCACTATCTTATCCTTTTCAGACACAGTCTCTCACTGAATCTGGAGCTCACCTATTGGCTGGACTGGCTGCTCAGTGAACTCCAGGGATCTGCTTTTTTCCACCTGCCCAGTGCTGGGATTATTAGGTGCACATGGCTGTGCTCAGCTTTTCTGGGGTGTGTTGGGGGGGGGGTCTGAACTCAGATCTTCAAGCTTGTGTGGCCAGTACTTTACCAGCTGAGCCCTCTCCCAGGACCTCGTTGGTTTTTTTTTTTTTTTGGTTTTTCGAGACAGGGTTTCTCTGTTTGCTTTGCGCCTTTCCTAGAACTCACTTGGTAGCCCAGGCCGGCCTGGAACTCACAGAGATCCGCCTGCCTCTGCCTCCCGAGTGCTGGGATTAAAGGTGTGTGCCACCACCACCCGGCAAGCACCCTCTTTTTTAACTTTAATTTTTTATCATTGTGTGTAAGTGTATATGGTGTATGTGTGTGTGTACATGTGCCTGCAGGCATGCATGCATTACCCTGCACATGTAGAAGTCAGAGGATAACTTTTGAGGGTCAGTTTGTTCCTGTTGCTGTGGAATCTGGGGTTGAGCCCAGGCTCACAGCAGCACTTTATCCCTTGAAGCCGGCTTGCTAGGCCTTCTTTTTTATTGGTGTTTTTTTTTTTTTTTTTTTTGAGACAAAGGCTCACAAAGTTGTCTGGGCTGGTCTTCTGATTTCAGTGCTTCGTCTCCTAAGCAGCTGCAACTGCAGAAGCCAGCCACCCCCTAAGTTAAGTGATCTTGTGATCCAGAGCCTGATGCACTGGCCCATGGGCGGACAGTTTTTACACAGTGGTGGATTAAGGACAGTGGGGTCAGGGTTGTCTCATTGCTCCTTCCTCAGAGGGAGGTAGATGTTTATCTTTAGTGCTGTTTTTTAATGTGTCTGAATGTTTGCCTGTGTGTGTGTGTATGTGCACCATGTGTGTGCCTGGTGCCCAGAGGTCAGAAGGGGGTCATTGGATCCCCTGGAACTGGAGTTACAAATGGTTCATCATGTGGGAGCTGAAAATTGAACCCAGGTTCTCTGCAAGAGCAACAAGTGCTGTTAACATCTGAGCCGTCCCTCTAGTCCTTAAACCTTGTTCTTTCTGCAAACACCCACTTAAGCTTACAGTGTTATCTTGAGACCACGTTCACCTTGTGCTATCTTACCTGCTGTCAGACGTCCCTGAAGCTGTGGGTAGGAGGCTAGTCCTTTCCAAAGAGCTGGAGTGTCGGCCCCTGAAGTGTGGACTGGGAGGGGAGGTGGGTCTCCTGAGTCAGTACTGAGACAGTACCTTCTGAGTACTCCTGACCTAGCCCTGGTTTTGCCCTGGGTCCCTCTCATTCCTTGCTTCTCAAGGCTGTCTCACTTAGCTGGAAGACCTGAGCGGGGGCCACTGGGTCAGACTTGAATAGACCACCATTGAATGAGCAGGTGCTCGGGGACCTGGTGCTGGGAACGGGGCATAGTGGACATTTTCTGGGTGGGCTCACTCTTACCTGCCCTATTTGTCCTTCCTCTGTCTCCTGCCTGACCAGCTTCTTCCCCATCTCTGGGAGGTGGAGTACAGGGCACCGTGGGGCACAGGGGGCACTGCAGCCTGCCCCGCCCAGGCCCTGAGTAGTGTCTGCTAACCTTGGCCAGAGGCTCAGACGGCAGGCGGGTCTCGTGGGGCCACTGCTCAAGCCGATTCTCTCTCTGCCCCGGCCTCCTCCTGGGCCATGCATGCAGGGTCCCTAAGCTGCTGGCTGTACGGGTTGCCTAGTCTGCTCCTCTGCTCTCAGTTCTGGTGTGACTCGGGGTGTGGAGTGACGCCTGCTGCGGACAGCTGTGCCGCACAAGTGAGGCAGTAGGTTTCGGGGCACGGGTAGTGTGTCCTGTCTGCTGCAATAGTCCTGTCACGTGCAGGCCCAGACGAGGGAGGAGCTGCAGCAGCTGGCCTGCCTCCTTGCTCCCCCAGGCAGGCCCCCACTGGCTCAGGGCTGATTCTGTGGCAGGACTTTAACCTCTCGTAGCTTTATCCACTCGTGGTTCTTTGTTTTCATGTTAAAGTG